AGCTCTCAATCATCTCAATCAGCAGATGCAGGGCGGTGGAGTCAACATCATTGAAGCGGAAGAAAACCTGAAGGATTTTCAAAAAAAGCTACCGTTATGGAAACGACGAACAGAGAACGATAACTTCGCAAACTTTCCCCTGCTGGACGACTATGTAAGTAAGATCGAAGATGTATCTGGAATCGGAGACATTTCTGTACCCGCGGAACTGAAACAAGCAATTGCCACGCACTTAGATGAGCTTGCAAAGTCTCTCGACGGATACTTCCCTACAAGAGAGTCATATCCAGCATGGGTGAGACAGCCGTTCACGTTTAGTGTTGAGACAGCAGATGTCAATGATGAATACCTCGACGAAATCATTGAAATTCAGCAGAGCCAGGTTCAACAGCAACTCTTCAGAACAACAACGATCTCAACGTTTTGGTGTCAACAAATGGCAACGTACCCTGTTATTGCTAAGAGAGCCCTGGAGATGTTCATACCGTTTGTTACAACATATCTTTGCGAGCAATCCTTTTCGAGGATGCTGGACATAAAAACAAAGAAAAGGAACAGACTTTGTTGCGAAAATGACATGAGAGTGGCACTTGCCAAGGTGAAGCTGCGCATTTCTGAACTGGTCTCTGAAAGGCAACAGCAGAAGTCACACTGATTTGCAGTAAGTATTCATTATTTTGTTTTTGTGTGAAAATCATGTTTTGTTGGTTTTGTTCTTTGAACACAGTGATGTTGATGCACGGTTCATTTTGTGCACCAGTAAAACATATACCTACGTTTTGAATTTGAAAAAATATTTTATTTTTTCAATTAAGAAGGGTTCGGTGAATGCGCATATGAAACTGGTGGGCTTCAGTTCCCCCAACAAGGTAAAGAACCACGAGCCTAAGGTAACCCCCTCCCCCTCCTGGGGACCCCGTGACCGGGTGGGGCTGGGGGATAGGGGCCAACGGCTGATTCCAGACCCTTCCAGACACTTCTGGAAGGTTCTGGAGAGGGTGTGGTTAGGGGCGGGGTAAGCCTCGACCTGGGGATAAAAGCTGGCCCTCTCAACGGGACCGGCAGCAGAGGTCGCAATCGGGTACCCGATACCCATACCCTACCCGTACCCAGCTGGGTACGGGTAGCCGGGTATCGGGTAGGGTACGGGTACGGGTACCCGTTTGCGACCCTGGTGCGGCTGGGTACGGGTATGGGTAAGGAATCAAAACCCGTTTGGGACCTCTGACCGGCAGTGTTCGCCAACTCAAGACCCGAAGACGTCGGAAGAGCTGAAGACCAGGCCAGCACCCTGAACCCTCAACCGAGGCTCTTGTCAGAGCCGGGTTGTAGCGGACCGGTGGTGAGACCCGTGAGCCGGGTTAGGTTGGGTCAGTGTCAGAGGTCGCAACCGGGTACCCGATACCCGTACCCTACCCGATACCCGGCTACCCGTACCCCGCCAGGTACGGGTACGGGTAGCCGTTTGCGACCCTGGTGCGGCCGGGTACGGGTACGGGTAGGCCATAAGTCACTGGTGAGTAACTGTTTGTCACTCATTTCGGGTAGGGTACGGGTACCCGGCCGGGTACGGGTACCCATTTGCGACCCTGTCTCGGCCGGGTACGGGTACGGGTAAGGAATCAAAACCCGTTTGCGACCTCTAGTCAGTGTAGCCTCTCTTAGCGCCCGTAGCGGAGGACCCGTGTGTAGTTAGTGTTGCTATTGTAATGAACGCGTTGCATCCAGAATACGAAGTTATACACACAACTCATTGTTTAAATGCATGCGTATACAGGCCACCATACTTCAATAGGGATTACCGTTGGTACAGCTATTTTAATACACACAATGGACATGAAGGACAAGATCAATGGGTTCGCATCATGCACATGCATCATGTACGTTGACTCATGAATCCCTCCCCCCCCCCCCCCCCCACTTTGCACAAGAGCGCAGAAGCGTGGTCACCACATCTACGCCTCTATATAAGGAACAAAACAGGTGGACTTCTCCACAAATCTGGCTGTTGCCTGATGAAGCAGGTTGTAATTACTGGCGAAACGTCGTACTCAGATTGTAGATGTTGTGGCTTGGCTCTCCAACACACCGGTGTGATAAACTAGTATATTACACTATATACTACACCATACACTACACCATACACTACACACTACACTATACACTACACTATACACTACACTATACCACTACACTATTATACACTACACTACTATACAACACTACACTATACACTACACTACTATACAACACTACACTACTATACACTACACTACTATACACTACAATACTATACACTACACTACTATACACTACACTATACACTACTATACACTACACTACTATACACTACAATACTATACACTACACTACTATACACTACACTATACACTACTATACACTACACTACTATACACGACACTACTATACACTACACTATACACTACACTACTCTACACTACACTATGTACTTCACTATACGTGACACTACTATACACTACACTATACACTACACTACTATACACTACACTATACACTACACTACTATACACTACACTATTATACACTACACTATACACTACATTACTATACACTACACTATACAATACACTATACACTACACTATACACTACACTACTATACACTACACTATGCACTACACTATCCACTACACTATCCACTACACTTTACACTACTATACACTACACTACTATACACTACACTATACACGACACTACTATACACTACACTACTATACACTACACTATACACTACACTATACACTACATTACTATACACTACACTATACACTACACTATACACCAGAGGTGGGACAAAGTCATTGTCATGCAAGTCCAAGTCGAGTCTGAAGTCATCAAATTCATGACTCGAGTCTGACTCGAGTCCAAGTCACATGACTCGAGTCCACACCTCAGAGGTGGGACAAAGTCATTGTTATGCAAGTCCAAGTCGAGTCTGAAGTCATCAAATTCATGACTCGAGTCTGACTCGAGTCCAAGTCACATGACTCGAGTCCACACCTCTGCTATACACTACTATACACTACACTATGCACTACACTATCCACTACACTATCCACTACACTTTACACTACTATACACTACACTACTATACACTACACTATACACTACACTACTATACACTACACTACTATACACTACACTATACACTACATTACTATACACTACATTACTATACACTACACTATACACTACACTATACACTACACTATACACTCCACTACTATACACTACACTATGCACTACACTATCCACTACACTATCCACTACACTTTACACTACTATACACTACACTACTATACACTACACTATACACTACACTACTATACACTACACTTTACACTACTATACACTACACTACTATACACTACACTATACACTACACTACTATCCACTGCACTTTACACTACTATACACTACACTACTATACACTACACTATACACTACACTACTATCCACTACACTTTACACTACTATACACTACACTACTATACACTACACTATACACTACATTACTATACACTACACTATAAATGCAAATGTTGTGTGGGTTTACTCTCCAACACACAACCGGTGTGCTGTACTAGTGTACTGTACACTACACTATACACTACTATACACTGCACTAGCATACACTACAAGACTATACACTACTATACACTACACTACCATACACTACACTACAATACCTACTATACACTACACTATGAAAGTCAGCGCTACAAACAACCACCACCACCACACTATGTTCAATCATCACACTCCAGGTCACAACAGCACTCACCCACTCACCCGCCCACTCACTCACTCGCTCACTCACCCACTCACCCACCCACCCACCCATTTACCCACCCACTCACTCACCCACCACTCACTTGCCCATTCACTCACTCACCTGCCCACTCACTCACCCGCTCACTCACCCACTCATTCACTCACCCATTTACCCACCCACTCACTCACCCACTCACTTGCCCATTCACTCACTCACCTGCCCACCCACTCACCCACTCACTCACCTACTCACCCACTCACCCACCCACTCACCCACTCACTTACCCGCTCACTCACCCACTCACCCACCCACTCACTCACCCACTCGCTCACCCACCCCACTCGCTCACCCACTCGCTCACCCACTCGGGGGTGAACAACATCACGGACAGAGAAGGGGATGTGCTGACGAGGTCAAAGTTTATTTTCAATTCTCTAAAACTCTACACACAAAGCCCGCAGCTCCGACGAGCAACAGTCAACCAACGTTGTCTCCCTCGGTTGCAATCGACCTCAAGTGCCCGAAGCCACGACCACCACCAGCACCAGCAGCAGCAGCGATGTTCTCCCTTGCACAAAGACAAAGACTCTACACCCCCCCCATCCCTCCCGTATAGCCTCAATAGACTGTCGGGCAAGTGCTGTTTGACGAGGAGTTGCAGCAGCGCCTATGAAGGCCGGCATGGCACGCGAGATGAGGGTGGGTGACCAGCCGCCTTTGTCTCCCCAGTGTTGCCAGGACTTGGTGGTCGTGTTAGTGTTGGTGGTGTGAGTGATGGCGGTGGTGGTTGCATTGGTGGTGCTGGTTTGTTGCATTGGTTGTGTTCGTGGTGGTTGTATCGGTGGTGGTGTTGGTGGTTGTGGTGTTGGTGGTTGTGGTGTTGGTGGTGGTGGTAGTATTAGTGGCTGTTGTATTGTTCGGCGGCGTTTGCATTGGTGGTGGTGGTTGTGGTGGTTGTGGTGGTTGGTGGTAGTTGGTGGTAGCGTCTACGGCCTGTGACTGAACCCAGGATCATCATCCTCTCGGTCTCATTCTTCCGATTGACTCTTCGCTCGAGGGTGGGGGCTAGGCGGGGAGGGGCGGGGCGGGGGGATGAGTGAGCGGGGGGTGGGGGAGGTGGGGGCACTTGGCACCCCTATCCCACACGGCGGGGGGCGGGGGGCGGGGGGCGGGGGGCGGGGGGTTGAGAGGTCACCCTTCACAGGCAGCGGCGGGAGGGGCCGCATGGGTCACAGGGCATGCAAGGCTGCCCACAGCGGTCTGGCACGCAGTGCAGTCTGGGGGGGGGGGGGGGGGGGCAGAGAGGGCAGGCGTTAGTCGTTGTGTGTGAGAGAGAGAGGTGTGACAAGCGGACAGGTGAGTGGACAGGTGGAGAGGTCAAGCAGCTGGGTGGATTGGTTGAGGGGTGTCAGACAGGTGAGTGCATTGGTGAAGAGGCCGGAGTGTACAGGTGAGTGTACAGGCAGGTGAGCGGACAGGTGGAGAGGTCAAGCAGGTGGGTGGATTGGTTGAGGCGGGTCAGACAGGTGAGTGCATTGGTGAAGAGGCCGGAGTGTACAGGTGAGTGTACAGGCAGGTGAGCTGACAGGTGGAGAGGTCAAGCAGGTGGGTGGATTGGTTGAGGCGGGTCAGACAGGTGAGTGCATTGGTGAAGAGGCCGGAGTGTACAGGTGAGTGTACAGGTGAGTGTACAGGTGAGTGTACAGGCAGGTGAGCGGACAGGTGGAGAGGTCAAGCAGCTGGGTGGATTGGTTGAGGGGTGTCAGACAGGTGAGTGCATTGGTGAAGAGGCCGGAGTGTACAGGTGAGTGTACAGGTGAGTGTACAGGTGAGTGTACAGGCAGGTGAGTGGACAGGTGGAGAGGTCAAGCAGGTGGGTGGATTGGTTGAGGGGTGTCAGACAGGTGAGTGCATTGGTGAAGAGGCCGGAGTGTACAGGTGAGTGTACAGGTGAGTGTACAGGTGAGTGTACAGACAGGTGAGTGGACAGGTGGAGAGGTCAAGCAGGTGGGTGGATTGGTTGAGGGGTGTCAGACAGGTGAGTGCATTGGTGAAGAGGCCGAAGTGTACAGGTGAGTGTACAGGTGAGTGTACAGGCAGGTGAGCGGACAGGTGGAGAGGTCAAGCAGGTGGGTGGATTGGTTGAGGGGTGTCAGACAGGTGAGTGCATTGGTGAAGAGGCCGGAGTGTACAGGTGAGTGTACAGGCAGGTGAGCGGACAGGTGGAGAGGTCAAGCAGGTGGGTGGATTGGTTGAGGGGTGTCAGACAGGTGAGTGCATTGGTGAAGAGGCCGGAGTGTACAGGTGAGTGTACAGGTGAGTGTACAGGTGAGTGTACAGGCAGGTGAGCGGACAGGTGGAGAGGTCAAGCAGCTGGGTGGATTGGTTGAGGGGTGTCAGACAGGTGAGTGCATTGGTGAAGAGGCCGGAGTGTACAGGTGAGTGTACAGGTGAGTGTACAGGTGAGTGTACAGGCAGGTGAGTGGACAGGTGGAGAGGTCAAGCAGGTGGGTGGATTGGTTGAGGGGTGTCAGACAGGTGAGTGCATTGGTGAAGAGGCCGGAGTGTACAGGTGAGTGTACAGGTGAGTGTACAGGTGAGTGTACAGACAGGTGAGTGGACAGGTGGAGAGGTCAAGCAGGTGGGTGGATTGGTTGAGGGGTGTCAGACAGGTGAGTGCATTGGTGAAGAGGCCGGAGTGTACAGGTGAGTGTACAGGTGAGTGTACAGGCAGGTGAGCGGACAGGTGGAGAGGTCAAGCAGGTGGGTGGATTGGTTGAGGGGTGTCAGACAGGTGAGTGCATTGGTGAAGAGGCCGCCGACACGTGCGGATAGGTGGGACAGGCGGGTTCGCGGGCAGGTGAGTGGACAGGCAGGTGAGTGTATAGGTGAGTGTATAGGTGAGTGTGCAGCTGAGTATACAGACAGGCGAATGTACAGGTGAATGAGTGTACAGGTGAGTGTACAGGCAGGTGAGTGTATAGGTGAGTGTACAGGCAGGTGAGTGTACAGGTGAGTGTGCAGGTGAGTGTACAGGCAGGTGAGTGTATAGGTGAATGTACAGGCAGGTGAGTGTACAGGTGAGTGTGCAGGTGAGTGTACAGCCAGGTGAGTATACAGATCAGTGTACAGGTGAGTGTACAGGCAGGTGAGTGTACAGGCGAGTGTACAGGTGAGTCTACAGACAGGTGAGTGTATAGGTAAGTGTATAGACAGGTGAGTGTACAGGCGAGTGTACAGGTGAGTGTACAGGTGAGTGTACAGACAGGCGAGTGTACAGGTGAGTGTACAGACAGGCGAGTGTACAGGTGAGTGTACAGACAGGCGAGTGTACAGGTGAGTGTACAGACAGGCGAGTGTACAAGTGAGTGTACAGGCGAGTGCACAGGTGAGTGTACAGGTGAGTGTACAGACAGGCGAGTGTACAGGTGAGTGTACAGACAGGCGAGTGTACAAGTGAGTGTACAGGCGAGTGCACAGGTGAGTGTACAGGTGAGTGTACAAGTGAGTGTATAGGTGAGTGTACAGGAGAGTGTACAGGTGAGTGTACAGGCAGGCGAGTGTACAGACAGGTGAGTGTACAGGCGAGTGTACAGGTGAGTGTACAGGTGAGTGTACAGACAGGCGAGTGTATAGGTGAGTGTACAGGCGAGTGTACAGGTGAGTGTACAGACAGGCGAGTGTACAGGTGAGTGTACAGACAGGCGAGTGTATAGGTGAGTGTACAGGCGAGTGTACAGGTGAGTGTACAGACAGGCGAGTGTACAGGTGAGTGTACAGACAGGCGAGTGTACAGGCGAGTGTACAGGTGCGAGCCTGTCTCTTCCCCCACCTGCTCTCCTCGCCCTCCAGCAGCTTCCGGTAGGTGGCGATCTCGATGTCGAGGGCGAGCTTCACGTTCATGAGCTCCTGGTAGTCGCGCACGTGCCTCGCCATGTCGGCCTTCGCCTGCGACAGCTCCGTCTCGACGCGCGCGGTCGCGTCACGGGCCTCGTGAGCGTTCATCTCCCCGTGGTGCTCCGCCTCCTGGATGGAGCTCTCCAGCTGGCAACGCTGTGGTGGTGGTGGTGAGGGTGGTGGTGGTGAGGTGGGGGGGTTGAGGTGGGAGTGGGGTGAGGTGGGTGGGGGTTGAGGTGGTGGTGGTGAGGTGGGGGTTGAGGTGGGGGGGTTGAGGTGGGGTGGGGGTGGGGTGAGGTAGGGGTGGTGGTGGTGGTGAGGTGGGGGTTGAGGTAGGGGTGGGGGTTGAGGTGGGGGGGTTGAGGTGGGAGTGGGGTGAGGTGGGGTGTGGGTTGAGGTGGGGGTTGAGGTGGTGGTGGGGGTGGTGAGGTGGGGTGGGTGAGGTGGGGGTGGGTGAGGTGGGGGTGGTGGTGAGGTGGGGTGGGTGAGGTAGGGGTGGGGGTTGAGGTGGGGGTGAAGTGAGGTGGGGGTAGAGGTGGGGTGGGTGAGGTGGGGGTGGGTGAGGTGGGGGTTGAGGTGGTGGTGGGGGTGGTGAGGTGGGGTGGGTGAGGTGGGGGTGGGTGAGGTGGGGGTGGTGGTGAGGTGGGGTGGGTGAGGTAGGGGTGGGGGTTGAGGTGGGGGTGAAGTGAGGTGGGGGTAGAGGTGGGGTGGGTGAGGTGGGGGTGGGTGAGGTGGGGGTGGGTGAGGTGGGAGTGGGGGTTGAGGTGGGGGGGGGAGGTGTGAGTGGGGGGTTGTGGCGTGTGGGTGGGGGGGTGAGGTGTGGGTGGGGGGGTGTGGGTGGGGGGTGAGATGTGGGTGGGGGGGGGGTGAGGTGTGGGGGGGGGGTGGTGAGGTGGGAGTGGGTGAGGTGTGGGTGGGGGGGTGTGGGGTGAGATGTGGGTGGGGGGGGGTGAGGTGTGGGTGGGGGGGTGTGGGTGCGGGGTGAGATGTGGGTGGGGGGGGGGTGAGGTGTGGGTGGGGGGGGGTCAGATACACGGGAGGAGGGAGGGGAGGAGGGAGGGGAGGAGGGAGGGGAGGAGGGAGGGGAGGGTTGCGCTCTCGTCAGAATCCGATGAGCTATGAAGCTCTTGAGTTTCACAGATGTCCAGTGAGTGGCCCGGCATGAGAACTTTACAATAACAACAACAAAAACACAAAAACACGGCAGCTGGGCAAAGAATGTGAAAGGTAAACAAATCGTTTTAAGAAATATCCCCCAAAAAAACTAAACTATTGTTTTTTATTTTAATCTCATCAGGTCAGGTCCGCTGAGCTGCTGTTAAGCGACCTGGTCACAAATGACAACTCAACGAAGTGGGTCTCATCATCGTTATCGTCATCATCATCGTCATCATCGTCGTCATCGTGTGAACATTCATAGCAGTCGTCAAACACTCTGAACGCCGTGGTGACGTCGGTTCTAAATGTGGATGGGGACAACCCGGAGGACCCGGAGACAAATCCACGTGACCACGGAGACAGAGACAGAGAGAGAGAGACGCAGACTTCAAACATACAGCAGCAGGCGTCAGGGTCAGGATCGACCCCACGACCTCCTGTACACCAGGCGAGGTAGTTAACATATCATAGCCACTGTGATGATGATGATGATGAGAGAGAGACATGCACACACACACAGTCGAGGCATCGTCAAGGGTCGGGATAGAACCCACGACCTCCTGTACACCAGGCGAGGTAGTTAACATCTCCTAGCCACCGTGATGATGATGAGAGAGAGACACACACAGACTCCAAATATAGAGCGGGCGTCAGGGTCGGGATCGAACCCACGACCTCCTGTGCACCAGGCGAGGTAGTTAACATCTCTTAGCCACCGTGATGATGATGATGAGAGAGAGAGACACAAACTCCAAATATACAGCAGCAGCAGGCATCGTCAGGGTCAGGATCGAACCCACGACCTCCTGTGCACCAGGCGAGGTAGTTAACATCTCTTAGCCACCGTGATGATGATGATGAGAGAGAGAGACACAAACTCCAAATATACAGCAGCAGCAGGCATCGTCAGGGGTCGGGATCGAACCCACGACCTCCTGTACACCAGGCGAGGAGGAGGAGGAGGTGGCCCATGGCTGCCCAGCTCACCTGGGTCTTGAGGCCGTCGATCTCGCACGCGAGCCTCTGCACCATGGAGGAGAGCTCCAGGATCTCGTTCTTGGTGCAGCGCAGCTCAATGCAGTGCCGCTCGGACGCCTCGGCCATGTCGTCCATCTGGGGGTCACGTGGGGCGGTCACGTGAGGGGGTCAGGTGAGGCGGTCAGGTGAGGGGGTCAGGTGAGGGGGTCAGGTGAGGTGGTCACGTGGGGTGATCACGTGGGGGGGTCAGGTGAGGGGGTCAGGTGAGGGGGTTAGGTGAAGGGGTTAGGTGAGCGGGGTCAGGTGAGGTGGTGGAGGCGAGCGGGTGTGATGGGGAGAGGCGATGGTGTGGGGTGAGAGGTGAAGTGGTGAGGAGAGGTGAGGGTGTGGTGATGATGTCGATGAGGTGATTGATGATGATGTCGATGAGGTGATTGATGATGATGTCGATGAGGTGATTGATGATGGTTGATGATGAGGTGATTGATGATGATGTTGATGAGATGGTTTATGATGATGATTGATGATGATGATGGTTGATGATGATGATGCTTGATGATATTGATGGTTGATGAGGTGTTTGTTGCTGAGGAGGTGTTTGATGAGGAGGAGGAGGAGGAGGAGGTGGAGGAGGAGGTCACCTTGCTCTTGTACCAACACTCGACCTCCTCGCGGCTGCGTGCGGCCACCATCTCGTAGTTGGCGCGGACCTCGGCGATGAGCGAGCTCAGGTCGAAGTTGCAGCCCGTGTCCAGGTCGATGGTCACGTTCATGTCGCGGATCCTCTCCTCCATCTCTTGCATCTCCTGCGGGGGTCACGGGGGGGTCACGGGGGGTCACGTGGGTCAGGCTCGGTGGGTCACCGTGATCACCAACACTGCCATCGTCGTCATCATCAACCGGCATCATCACCCGCTTCAACACCATCACCAACACCACCATCACCATCGCAACCACTAAGACCCCCATTACCACCACCACCATCACAACCACGAAGAACCCCATCACCACCACCACCACCATCACAACCACTAAGAACCCCATCACCACCACCACCATCATCACAACCACGAAGACCCCCATCACCACCACCACCACCATCACAACCACAAAGACCCCCATTACCACCACCACCATCATCACAACCACTAAGAACCCCATCACCACCACCATCACCATCTTCAACACCACAGACACCATCGTCACGAGCAGCAGACAAAGCTCCCCCGTGTAGCCTGTAACAGACTGCAGGGGCAAGTGCTGTTAGCGAGCAGCAGAAAGCCGGCACGGCACTCGATGGGGTGGGGTGGCCAACACCACGCCCGGCCGCCTTTGTCTCCCCCAGTGCCGACGTTTACTACACACCGCACCAGGTACTCATTTGAGGCTGAGTCGACCTAGAGGCGGCCCAGGACCGGTCCAGATAATCGTCACCGGTGGGGTTGGGGGAGGGGTGGGGGAGAGGGGGGGGGTTTGGACGCTGACTTCCACAACCACCACAACCGCCACAACCACCACAACCGCCACAACTGAGTGTTAAGTGACACTGTGTGTGTGTATGTGTGGTGACGCAGGAGGGATGCTCACGCAGGCGAAGAGCTCCTTGATGAAGTGGAGCTCATCGCTGAGCTGCCCCACGCGTGTCTCCATCTGCACCTTGCCCATGTAGTTGTCGTCAGCCTCCTGGGGGACACGAGGAGGGGCGAGGCGCGAGGGTTCAAGTCCCGAGGGTCCACGGATCGGAGCACCCAGTCACCAGCGCACTTCGCCTAGCCACTGAGTGTCAACCCCCCTCATCCACTCACCCACACACTCAACCAACCTCTCACCCACTCACTCACTCACCCACCCGCTCACTCACCCACTCACTCACCCACTCACTCAACCCCTCACCCACCCACTCACTCACTCACCTAACCCCTTACCCACCAACTCACCCACTCACTCACCCACTCACCTAACACCTCACCCACCCACCAACCCACCCACTCAACCACCCACCCAACCACTCACCCACCCACCCACTCACCCACCTGCTTACTCACCCAGCCGTTTACCCACCCACCCCTTCACCATCTCACCCACTGACCCACTCACCCACTGACCCACTCATCCACCCACTCACTCACCCACCCACTCACTGACTCACCCCCTGCACCCACCCACCGATCCAACCCCTCACCCACCCACCAACTCACCCACCTGCTCACTCACCCACCCACCCATTCACCCACCCATTCAGCCACCCATTCACCCACCCATTCACCCACCCACCCACCCACTCACCCACCCACCCACCCCCTCTCACCCGCTTAATGGCCACGAAGTTCGCCTCCGCCGCCTCGCGCCCCGTCACCTCCGCCTCGTACCTGCAGTCGACATCGCGCAGGTGACACACAGACAGAGGCAAAGGTTCACCACCAGCATAGCCCGCACGCGCCGTCGGGGCAAGAGGCTGCGAGCAGGCAGCAGCGAGCAGCCCCTGTGGCCAAACGACCACCACGCCCGGCCCGCCTTTGTATTCTCCCTCCTACTCCCGCTGCTGACGTTTCATACACACAGCACTAGGTGCGTACCACCACCACCACACCCACGTGGCCCACCACCACCACCACCACACCCACGTGGCTCCCACCACCATCACCACCACCATCACCACCAGCAGCAGCAAGGGAGTCTCACTTGAGCTTGTGCTCATCGGCGAGCGCCCGCGTCTGGTGGAGCTCCGTCTCGAGCCTTGGGCGATCGGCCAGCACGCAGTCGAGCTGCCTCTTGATGGCTTGTGCGTACGTCTCGAACATCGAGTCCAGGTCGGAGGTGCAGACGCGCGCCTGCAGGCAGCCCCACTGCGCCTCCAGGACCTTGTTCTCCTGCTCCAGGTAGCGCACCTGTGAGAAATGCCCCCCCGTGGTGGTTAGGGTAAGATGCGTTGGAGATCGCTCGCTCCGTTCGCTCCAGACGCTAATCCACGCGTCCCATCCACCTAGCAACCACTCGCAGCCTGCAGCGCCTGCTCGCTCGCTCGCTTGCTCGCCAACGCAAGCGTCCGTCCATCTATCGGCCAACCCACCTAACCACACATCCATTAGATGTATTTCTCACAAGCACACCGGATTAGTTACCAACCCATTTAATCACCCACCCATTAACCCGCTCGCTCACTCGCCCACTCGCTCACCCACCCACCAATTAAACTATCAATTTGCTACTCACCCACTCACCAACCAAACTACCAACGTACCCTTGCATCTACCCACCCACCAACCCATTCATCCACTCGCTATACAACTCACCCACCTACTCACCAACTCACTCACCCACCAGCTAAAATATTATTTTTTTACCCACCCACTCACCCACCAAACTACCCACCAACCAATGTTTTCACCCACTCGCTATACAACTCACCCACCTACTCACCAACTCACCCACCCCACCCACCCACCCAACCACCCACCCACCCGCTCAACAACCAACCAACCCACCCACCCACGCACCACCAATCCACGCACCCACCCGCTCAACCACCCACCCACGCACCCACCCACCCACCTACTCACCCACCCACGCACCCACCCGCTCAACAACCCACCCGCCCACCCCAGCCATCACACCTTATCGATAAAGCTGGCGAAGCGGTCGTTCAGGTGGCTGATGGCGTTCTTCTCCTGGCAGCGCACGTTCTGCCCGCTGCGGTCGATCTGCACGCAGGGCGCGGGGCACAGCGGCTCCATGCTGATGCGCGGGATGCACGCGGACGGGCGCGGGCATGGCGTGGGGCACACGGGGGGCGGGCAGGGCCGCGGGCACACGGGCACGGCCTTGGTGCACTTGGGCTTCGGCGCGCAGGGAGCCGGTCCGCACGGCGCGTGGAAGTCCGTGTGGTGGACGGGACCGCAGGGCGCTGGGCCGCAGGGCGCGCTCGTGAACGGCACGTACGAGGAGCACGACGGCTTCGAGCCGTGCGCGGCGCCCGCCGTGTAGAAGCCCCCGCCGTGGATGAAGGGTGCCAGGGATGAAAATCCGTGGCCAGAATCGTGGCACGGCTCGGGTCCCGGGGTGCAGCAGCGCACGGTGGTACGAGGCGGGCACGGACGCGGGCAGAGGGCGGGCGCGGGGCAGGGCGCGTGGCACGGTGCGCACGGCTTGTTCAGCTTCGGCGTGGGAGCGAAGTTGCTGACGTACTTGTTAGGCACGCACGGCTCGCAAGGCTTGCTGTAAGACATGGCTGGGTCCGTTGAGTCGGGTTGAGGTGAGAGATTCGGGGTGGCTGGCGACGGGCGGATGGAGAGCGGATGGAGAGCTGGAGGAGGAGGAGACGGGTGCTGATGTGCCGAATGAGCGGTGCCCCGACACTATTTATACGGAACGCTGGAGGGAGGAGGCCCGATGATTATGGACGATAACGCCGAGTAATGGGGTCGCGTCGGCACATTTAGCGGGGCCCAATTTGCCCCCCCCCCGCGGTAACCCGACAACTGCTGTGTTGTTTGGGGCGCCCCGTGCGATAATTTCGCGTGCCCTCGGACCGGGAGCGGTGGCGCATCGGTTAGGCGAGCGCCACGGCACGTACGCACACCGGCGCTGTACCACCCGCGGTGGTACAGCAATAAAAAAAATTACGAAAATAACGAGAAGGGGGGAAAAAACACACGAAATGGTTTGTTGGCGAGTTTTGTTTTTTGCGTTTATGATTTTCCACGATCCGACGCGGTGAGTTCGGAGACGGTGGGACCTTGGTGACGCGTCACCATACAGCGGCAATGTTTGGTGGACTGGACTTCCATGGTAAACTGGGCTGCCATGGTGAACTGGATTTTCATGGTAAACTTGGGTCCCATGGTGAACTGGACTTCCATGGTAAACTGGACTTCCATGGTAAACTGGACTCCCATGGTAAACTGGGCTGCCATGGTGAATTGGATTCCCATGGTAAACTGGACTTCCATGGTGAACTGGACTTCCATGATAAATTGGACTTCCATGATAAACTGGACTTCCATGGCGAACTGGACTTTCATGGTAAACTGGACTCCCATGGTAAACTGGACTTCCATGGTGAACTGGACTTCCATGGTAAACTTGACTCCCATGGTAAACTGGGATCGTCAACTAACACAACAAGATCGAACAATTCCCACCCCCCCAAATCCCGCCTAGAATTCTCAGAGCCGCGCCACCACACTCCATGAAGAGCTACCCCCACCCCACTCCTCACCAGAGGTCACAACCGGGTACCCGATACCCGTACCCTACCCGATACCCGGGTACGGGTACCCGTTTGCGACCCTGGTGCGGCCGGGTACGGGTAGGCCGTGAGTCACTGGTGAGTCACCGTTTGTCACTCATTTCCCAACGTCTTGTCTCTTCTCACAATTCAAGTTCCTAGAATCAACCCACCCGCGCCTGCAACATGGCTTCATCCCAGAGGTCGCAATCGGGTACCCGATACCCGTACCCTACCCGTACCCGGCCGGGTACGGGTAGGGTACGGGTACGGCCGGGTACGGGTACCCGTTTGCGACCCTGGTGCGGCCGGGTTAGGGTACGGGTAAGGAATCAAAACCCGTTTGCGACCTCTGCTCCTCACCGTTCCACAGGGACACGATTTAGTGAAGATCATCAGTGGGGAGACAAAGACGCCACTTGCCCCGTCGTGCCGTGCGCGCTACACGGGGGGCCTTGGTCTTTACTTCGTCACGTTTTCGATTTCAAGAAAAAAACCCTCCGATCTCCGCCAACCCTCCCTGATCGATTGCTTCGATCCAGAACCGCCTTCAATAACCGCCCCTTCGGTTCCACATCCCATGGCAATGGGGCATTTGGAACTCTACGGGACGTGGCGTGGACATCAATGCGGCTCGCCTGTTACCGCCTACGACGGATGCCCTGCAGAAGGAGCGTTGCCCGAAACGTCGAGGTCGTCACTGACGCACGCGTTCTGCTTTTGGTTTCGAACCCAACGAGGATCAGAACCCGAGGGGTTCCTGGCGACAAGACGTGGAACGCGACGTCTGATGGAGGCGCAGAGGAGCGGTGTCCTTACCCAGCACCTCCGACTTGCACGGTTGACTACGTACGGTGTGAAAGAAGTTCAACAAACATACGTACTACTACACCCTGCACTACGCTGTGCACTACACTATACACTACAGTATGCACTACACTATACACTACACTATGCACTACACTATACACTACGCTATGCACTGCACTATACACTACGCTATGCACTACACTATACACTACTATACCACTACACTACTACACACTACAATATACATTACACGACTCTACACTACACGACAATACACTACTATACACTACACTATGCACTACACTACCATACACTACACTATATACTACACACTATACACTACACTATACAATACACTGCTACACACTACACTATACAATACACTACTACACACTACACTATACCCTACACTACTATACAATACAATATACATTACACGACTATACACTACACTATATACTACACCACGATACACTACACTACTATACACTACACTATACAATACACTATTACATACTACACTATACACTACTATACACTATACCCTACTATACAATACAATATACAATACACTACTACACAATACGCTATACATTGCACCACTATACACTACTATACACTATACACTACTATACACTACACTACTATACACTACACTACTATACACTACGCTACACACTACACGACTCTACACTACAATATACAATACACTACTACACACTACGCTATACATTACACCACTATACACTACACTACTATACACTACACTACATACTATACTACGATACACTGAACGACAGAGGGCCACGTGGTTTATAGAGGACACACGCAGGGTAGAGACATCGTTATCACATTGATCTCCATCCAGCTGTGGATAGGGTTCATCGGTCCAGATCATTAATCCCACTGGGTGTTGGCCGTGAGCGGGAAACGAACTCGGGACGCCGGGTTTGTAGCGCAGCGTAGCGCTAACCGCTGCACCACCGCTCCACCACATCCATACACTGACACACACGTGCTTTATCCCTATGAATGAATTCACCCTCGCCATAGGAACGTGGAATTTCCACCGCTGCAAACCAGGCATTAGCACCACCTTATCCGTTGCAAATTTGTGCAGGAAATCACCGAGGCTGAAATCCGTAATATGATTTCGATCTTGTTCATCTGCTTTGTGTTTTGTCTCACGGATCATCTCCGATTGCGAGCTTGGCTCTCCACACGTCACGAGGGAGACAAAGGCGGCCGGGCGTGTGGTCCAATTCTATTATCACGAAGTAAGGAGCTGCTGCTACTGCTGATGTGTGGTCTAGCCTAGGGGGGGGGAATCCCCAGTGGCAGCTGTCCCTGTGTGGAACAAGGTGATCGTCTCGTAGGAAGGCGCTGCTGCTGCTGCTGTGGTCTAGCCTAGGGGGGGGGGGGCATCCCCAGTGGCAGCTGTCACTGTGTGGAACAAGGTGATCGTCTCGTAGGAAGGCGCTGCTGCTGCTACTGCTGATGTGTGGTCTAGCCTAGGGGGGGGGGCATCCCCAGTGGCAGCTGTCACTGTGTGGAACAAGGTGATCGTCTCGTAGGAAGGCGCTGCTGCTTCTGCTGCTGCTGTGGTCTAGCCTAGGGGGGGCATCCCCAGTGGCAGCTGTCCCTGTGTGGAACATGGTGATCGTCTCGTAGGAAGGCGCTGCTGCTGCTACTGCTGATGTGTGGTCTAGCCTAGGGGGGGGCATCCCCAGTGGCAGCTGTCACTGTGTGGAACAAGGTGATCGTCTCGTAGGAAGGCGCTGCTGCTTCTGCTGCTGCTGTGGTCTAGCCTAGGGGGGGGCATCCCCAGTGGCAGCTGTCCCTGTGTGGAACATGGTGATCGTCTCGTATGAAGGCGCTGCTGCTGCTGCTACTGCTGTTTCTGTGTCACAGACGCATCCTGCAGGGATTTCACAGTACGGGGGGTGGGGGGGGGGGGTGCGATGTTTCTGGTGTTGTGGGTGGTCTGGTCGAGGGGACACCCTCAGTGGCAGCTGCCCCTGTGTGGCACAAGGCTCATCATCACGCTGGAGGCAGATGCTGCTGCTGCTGTTTCACAGTCGGGGCCCGATGTCGCTACTGCTGCCGTGTGGTCTAGCCTAAGGCAGAGGTCGCAACCGGGTACCCGATACCCGTACCCTACCCGATACCCAGCTACCCGGCCAGGTACGGGTACGGGTACCCGTTTGCGACCCTGGTGCGGCCGAGTACGGGTAGACCGTGAGTCACTGGTGAGTAACTGTTTGTCACTCATTTCCCAACGTCTTGTCTCTTCTCACAATTCAAGCTCCTAGAATCAACCCACCCGCGCCTGCAACGTGGCTTCATCCCAGAGGTCGCAATCAGGTACCCGATACCCGTACCATACCCGTACCCGGCCAGGTACGGATACCCGTTTCTGACCCTGGTGCGGCCGGGTACGGGTAGGCCGTGAGTCACTGGTGAGTCCCCGTTTGTAACTCATTTCGGGTAGGGTACGGGTCGGGAACGGGTACCCATTTGCGACCCTGGTGCGGCCGGGTACGGGTACGGGTAAGGAATCAAAACCCGTTTGCGAGCTCTGGTCTGTGGCACAGGGCGACGTGTGTGTGTGTGCTGGACTTCTTTTTCGCATCGGCGTTCATCACGCAGGAAGGCATCGCCTGCTGCTGCTGTTTCTACACAGAAACAGCGTGCGGCCGTCTTGACTCTTACGACTGCGGTAGTTAAAACATAAATGAAGCCTTTGCTGTGACGTCTTGCGGTAAAGTCACCTAGGTAGGTTCAAAGAAAATTACAAAATAACAAAAAACTACGACGTTTCGATCGCAACGACCGCTTGTGTTGCGATCGAAACGTCGTAGTTTTGTGTTACTTCCTTTGAATCTATGTGTGTCTGTGTGTCTGTGTGTGTGTCAGTGTCTGTGTGTGTGTCAGTGTCTGTGTTTGGCTGTGTGTGTGTCTGTGTGTGTGTCTGTGTGTGTCTGAGTGTCTGTGTTTGGCTGTGTGTGTGTCCGTGTCTGTGTGTGTCTGTGTCTGTGTGTGTCTGTGTGTGTCCGTGTCTGTGTTTGGCTGTGTGTGTGTTTGGGGGAGCGGTAGTGTAGCGGTTAGTGCGCTCCGCTACGAACCTGGCGACCCGGGTTCGATTCCCGCTCACGGCCAACACCAGTGACGATTATCTGAACCGGTCTT